CTTCCGCACTGCACGCTGAACGCAAGTGCACTGTATCTTCTTGATGACGAGCACTGCAATATAGACTATTGAACTTCGCATCGGAAAAAACTGCACGCAGTGTTTTTTCGGTACTGTTTTCGCTCTAATTTTTTGATTGTTTATCGGAACGAGGCGTATAATATACCGTTGAAAAGCTATGGATTAGGCGCAACTTCGCTATGTTGAACACTTTTTGAGATTCCTCGCGGTTTAAGAGCAGTTTTAAAAATGGCGCGGCGGATGACGAGTGACAGCGAACGTATTTTCGTGATTGTTTCTAAACCGTTTGTCGGAATAAAGCAAATGATACGCCGTTGAAAATATATTGTCAAGGCGCATCTTTTTCATATCTATTATGTTTTCTAATTCGTTACGGTTTAAGAGCAGTTTCAATTTTACTAAATCGCGGAACTCTGTTTTTCATTTTTTTTGAAATTTTCGGTACTGTTTTTGCTCCAGTTTTCTAACCGTTTGTCGAAACGAGACGTATGATACGCCGTTGGAAATCTACGAACAAGGCGCAACTTTCATATGTTGAAACGGTATTGAGATTCCTTACGGTTTTTAGTTAATTTTGAAAATCGTGCGGCTGACTTCGAGAGGCAGCGGCAGTTTTTTCGTAAATTTTTTACGAACGGTTGGTCAAAAAGATTCAAATTATACGCCATTTGAAAGATATCAATGAGGCACAACTTTTTCACTTAGAACACTCTCTCCAATTTCTTACGGTTTAGAAGTAATTTTGATTTTAATGAAATACGGACACTCTGTTTTTTCGCAACATCAAAACCGCCGTATGTATTGCATTAGACAGAAAACCGCACGTCTTTAGACTAAAAAACTGCACTTCATCAGATGGACAAGTGCACTGCATGATTTTTTTTGTGGGATGTAAATTTTCCCAAACAAGGTGGAGTGCACTTCATGTCAAGCGTTGGTGAACCGCGATACTATGAAAAGTGAACCTCGAGACCACGGTAAATGGGTTGCAACACTACCGAAATTGAACCACGTGAGTTTTTTCCAAACTCATTTCTTTTATGTGCGTAGACCGGGCGAGTGGACCGCGGGGACTGAGCGAGTGAGCTTCTTTGAGATAGAAAAACACACTTCTACAGAGTAAAAACGACACTACATCAAACATGTAAGTCGGGTACATGATTTGTACACGACCACACTCACGTTTTACTTCTAAAAAGACAGACAACTGCACTGAAATGGCAAATGGCAACGCAGGAAACTTCACACAACGATGAAGTGCACTGCAAGCGTCGATGCATTTTTTACTGTTTTTGTACACACAACACCACAGGTGCATCAAGCAAACTGCACGAACGAGCTGGCCGAGCCGCACGCCCTCACAACCGAGCTTCATCCCAAATGGAATGAACCGCCTTCTTTGGGTTTTTTACAATGTGAACAATAAGCGTCTTCACAATGAACAGGAAAAAAATCAATACTATATATACACGTGTCTTTTGATGTTCTCTCATCTTTTTTGCAAAAATCCAGTAATCTGGTCGGCATGAAAGCGAATAGTAAAACTGCACTTGTGAAATAAGCGAACGACATAAGAAAAAGGACATGCACGGAGGAGCGAACCTCTCCAACATACACAACGAAAAACATCATCACTGGACAAAATATTCTTTGGCCGATGTCGTCATCGTCTGCTGCTAGCCAGCTTGCGCAAGAGAACAACATAAACCACATGGCGCTGCTCCTAGCCAGGTTGAAAGGAGTTGACCAGAGGGGTACCACCCAACTGCAGAACCAGAGAACCCGCACTGCATGCGTGAAGTCGTCGGCTGCATCTTTGGCCAATGTGAATCGACACAGCAAGAATGCAAACGACGCCCCCGCCGAACCATATGTACTCACCGAACGCACTTCACGCACTCGGTCGCGCGAACTGCACGGCGGCGCTGTCCATGTGCTGCACCGCCATCGAGCTGCACCACGAGCGCCACCGAACTGCAGAGAGCCCCCTCGCCCAGGACAACCTAGAGCGGAGTACAGCGCCGCGCCGGGGGGACTCCGGCGTCCCCATCAACTGCACTGCACGGGGGCGGCCCGGTGGATGGTATGTATGACGGGTAGAGCTCCACTCCAGCTCGCAGTAGCACCACCACCAGCCGAAAGGAACAACACCACCAGGATTTAGACAATCTCCAACGGCAAATCCTGGATGCAAAAATAGATTTCTGAGCTGCAGTTTTTTAGCACCCAACTGAATTGGGCTAGACTGCATCCTGAAAAACATTAGAAAATATTTATAAACAACAACAAACCTGGACAGGATTCGCACAGCGAACTGCACGGCGACGGCGACCACAAGATGATGACAAACCTGAACCCCATGCTCCCGATTGAATATGGGCGGAAGGGGCGTGGGAGGCACGGCCTATGAGGCCGGTGGAAGAAAGTGGCGCGCGGCGACGGCGACCATAGGAGGCGGTGGCCTGTTGCAGCAGGAGGAGGTGGATCCACGGGGGTGGCATCTGAAACCGCACGCCATTGAGCTACAAGGGGGGTGGTAGCCGAGCTGCACTGGGGCGCCAACAGAGCTGCATTGGAAGGGAGGGCATGCCCGTCCAATCGGCGGATCCGACCTGGCTTGATCTGGACGGGGTGGAGAGGGATCCAACCATGGGGGTGTTGGAAATATGCCCTAGAGGCAATAATAAAAGCATTATTATTATATTTCTTTGTTCATGATAATTGTCTTTATTCATGCTATAATTGTGTTATCCGGAAATCGTAATACATGTGTGAATAACAGACACCAACATGTCCCTAGTAAGCCTCTAGTTGACTAGCTCGTTGATCAATAGATAGTCATGGTTTCCTGGCTATGGACATTGGATGTCATTGATAACGGGATCACATCATTAGGATAATGATGTGATGGACAAGACCCAATCCTAAACATAGCACAAGATCGTATAGTTCGTTTGCTAGAGTTTTTGCAATGTCAAAGTATCTCTTCCTTCGACCATGAGATCGTATAACTCCTGGATACCGTAGGAGTGCTTTGGGTGTATCAAACGTCACAACGTAACTGGGTGATTATAAAGGTGCACTACAGGTATCTCCGAAAGTATCTATTGTTTTATATGGATCGAGACTGGGATTTGTCACTCCGTATGACGGAGAGATATCACTGGGCCCACTCAGTAATGCATCATCATAATGAGCTCAAAGTGACCAAGTGTTTGGTCACGGGATCATGCATTACGGTACGAGTAAAGTGACTTGCCGGTAACAAGATTGAACGAGGTATTGGGATACCGACGATCGAATCTCGGGCAAGTAACATATCGATTGACAAAGGGAATTGCATACGGGGTTGATTAAATCCTCGACATCGTGGTTCATCCGATGAGATCATCGTGGAGCATGTGGGAGCCAACATGGGTATCCAGATCCCGCTGTTGGTTATTGACCGGAGAGCGATCTCGGTCATGTCTACATGTCTCCCGAACCCGTAGGGTCTACACACTTAAGGTTCAGTTACGCTAGGGTTGTAGGGATATGTATATGCAGTAACCCGAATGTTGTTCGGAGTCCCGGATGAGATCCCGGACGTCACGAGGAGTTCCAGAATGGTCCGGAGGTAAAGATTTATATATGGGAAGTCCTGTTTCGGGCATCGGGACAAGTTTCGGGGTTATCGGTATTGTACCGGGACCACCGGAGGGGTCCCGGGGGCCCACCGGGTGGGGCCACCCATCCCCGGGGGCCACATGGGCTGTAGGGGGTGCGCCTTGGCCTGCTTGGGCCAAGGGCACCAGCCCCACATAGGCCCATGCGCCTAGGGTTTAAAGGGGAAAGAGTCCTAGGAGGGTAAGGCACCTCCTAGGTGCTTTGGGGGGGAGGGAAACCCCCCCTTGGCCGCCGCACCCCCTAGGAGATTGGATCTCCTAGGGCCGGCCACCCCCCCTTGGCACCCCTATATATAGTGGGGGAGAGGAGGGACTTCATACCTTGAGTCCTTGGCCTTTGGTTGCCTCCTTCTCCCTCCCCAACACCTCCTCCACCTCCTTATTGCTTAGCGAAGCTCTGCCGGAGTACTGCAGCTCCATCAACACCACGCCGTCGTGCTGCTGCTGGTGCCATCTCCCTCAACCTCTCCTCCCTCCCTTGCTGGATCAAGAAGGAGGAGACGTGGCTGTTCCGTACGTGTGTTGAACGCGGAGGTGCCGTCCGTTCGGTGCTAGGATCTCCGGTGATTCGAATCACGTCGTGTTCGACTACATCATCCCCGTTCTTTGAACGCTTCCGCTCGCGATCTACAAGGTATGTAGATGCATCTATTCACTCGTTGCTAGATGAACTCCTAGATGATCTTGGTGAAACGAGTAGGAAAATTTTTGTTTTCTGCAACGTTACCCAACAGTGGCATCATGAGCTAGGTCTATGCGTAGTTCTTCTTGCGCGAGTAGAACACAATTTGTTGTGGGCGTAGATTTGTCAACTTTCTTGCCGTTACTAGTCCTTTCTTGCTTCAGCGGTATTGTGGGATGAAGCGGCCCGGACCAACCTTACACGTACGCTTACGTGAGACCGGTTCCACCGACTAACATG